TAGATAATTAGGTCTGGTCTTTCTTTTTTTATTATGGTAAAATCCTGAAATGATTATAATCTTTTACAAGCAATTAGTTCAATGAAGTTAAGCTCCAGTCTTCAAAGTATATCTTTCAATTTAGCAAAAATTTAAGAGTGATTCGAGTAGTTTTGTAAATTGGGTACTGGGCTGTGCATTGATTGAACATGCTGCAACAGAAAATGTTAGATTCCTTTCTATTTTCTTCCACAAGAATGCATTTATGCATATATTTATTTATCTGTCCGTTAATGCATATGTTCACTTCAGTGCTTTTGATTCACATTATGCTAAATTGATGATGCATGCAATAACAGGTAACAATTTTCACTTCTAATATTTGGAAAAGCTGTTTTAGAAGTTGTACAGAAAACCAAAGAATACTTTGTTGTTGGATAAGGTTCTGAAATGGCCCTACATGTTTCTTCCTCAAATGAAGCTTGCTACATAGGTGAAAATATGGCTTAACAAGTGTAGATTAAGAAGGAGAGTTGATCAATCATCCCTAGAAACTTAGAATTTGAGGTGTTAACTCCCAAAAATCACCAAATGGCGTCGGAGTTGCACAAAACTTGGCACACACGACCGTCTAGGCAAAAGAGATTTGTGAGAGAAAACGGGACTCGAATCGGGTTTCCGGTTTGGCAGTTAGAGCCAAATTTCACGCTAGGCAAACTAGTTCCTTAAAAAACTTAGAATTCGAGCTGTTGATGCCCCAAAATCACCAAACGACGTCGTAGTAGCACGAAACTTGGCACACGACCACCTACGCACGAGAGACTTGTGGAAGAAATCGGGACTCGAATCGGGTTCCTGGTTTGGGAGTTAGAGTCGGATTTCATGCTAGGCAAACTAGTTCCTTAAAAAACTTAGAATTTGAGGTGTTGACGTCGTAAAATCACCAAACGGCGTCAGATTAGCACGAAACCTGGCACACACGACCGCCTAGGCACGAGAGACTTGTGAGAGAAGACGGGACTCGAATCGGGTTCCCGGTTTGGGAGTTGAGCCGGATTTCACTCCAGGCGAATTAATTCTTTAAGAAACTTAGAATTCGAGGTGTTGATGCCCCAAAATCACCAAACGGTGTCGAATTAGAACGAAACTTGGCACACACGACCGCCTAGGCACGAGAGACTTGTGGGAGAAGTCGGGACTCGAATTGGGTTCCTGATTTGGGAGTTAGAGCCGGATTTCATTCTAGACAAACTAGTTTTGAGTACCAAAGTGTAGGAAGAATCAAGGGGAGATAATGGCTGATGTTGTCAACTTTTTGAGGACCAAAGGATTCACTGGACACTTTGGAAGTTGAGGGGACTCATCCACAAGTGGACATTCTTCTTGGTAAAGTATGTTAACTTTAATATAACAAATTTTATAAAAGAATATATGTTTGAAGAACTAGAAAGTAATGGAAACATGCATGGGACATCCAATTTGTATAGGTGCATGAGATGTATAAATTGTGAATTAGTCGAAAAAAATATTTCTTTTTCTCTATATTTAAAGCTTCAAAAAAGGCCATCGAAAGGCTAAATTATTTGTACAGGAACCAACAGAAACACCTTAGGAGAGACCAATATAAGTTGTATGAACTTACGGCACATTAATGGGATGCACCATTTGTGAATTAGCCTTAAAATTAATTTTTTGTTCTCATAATCTCGAAAAAAAAAGTATGTTAGAGGGATAAATTATATAATTGATCTAATTGTAAATTGATGAGTTACTAATGTTTTTAATCTTTTGTATAATTAATTAATTACTAAAGCTTTTAATTTATTTTTTTGCAGATTGGATTGGGGTGGCGTTTTTGACGTGCAACAATGATGTAATTTGCTTGAATGTTCATTTTGTTTGATAAGGATACACATACTTTGTGGAGTTGCACTAGTTATTGTTGGATGTTTGGTAGAATTGTATAAGTTATAAGTTTTAGATATTTTGTGGATATTGCACTATTTTATTGTATTAGGATGAAATTATTTGTAATGATGAATGGATATTTTCATTTTGTTAATTCGTAAATGTGTTGATAACAGGTTAGGTTAAGTTGTGAATGGATGTCACGCCCCACTTTTATTACTCGAAGCCATTACCAAATTCATTAACTTAATTCAATTTCAGAGATAACATGCGGAAATAAACTCATACATTCAATCCTTAGAAATGAATATAAATACTCTCATTCGTATGCAAAGTAAATGTTACATGAAAATACTCAATAAATTGCCCTTGGGCTTACAACCTTTAAATAAACAAATGAAGGGGTGTAACCCTTTTACACATATGGTGTTCCGCTAACAACAAAGAGGCCCCGTGGCCAACAAATAAGAAGATCCAAATCCTGTAGCACAACCTGCTAAACACCTGAAAAATATTCAACAACGTGGGATGAACATAAAGTCCAGTAGGGATCTCAACATGATCCTTAACAATAACAACTTACAGATAGCTATGATCATGCACACTCATTCTCGTACTAGAATAGTAATATGACAGTTTATACAAAATATATATATATAAACTTTTCTTGAAAACAACCGTTTCATTCAACGCTATAAGCGATTCATCTTTCCTTATTCCTTTCATTAATCCCCATTCCCATTCTTTCATAACATTAACAATTACTTAGGAAAATAATCTCACTAAGCCCGATACTCTCTTCCACTTCCTATACATACACAGATGTACCTTTTCAAATCATGTTTATCGTTAAACATTCATTCTCCTTCACACTTCCCAAAAGACAAAAAAAGACATTTTGGTTCATTTCCACTACTATCATACCTATACATGCATAACCTTGTAAAAATATAAATGTACAACCCACCCACATGTATACAATCAATCAATGGTGTAACTCGGTTCTCCGAAATGGAACCAATCAAATCTATGATATTTTCAGTTACAACTAAACAACAACAATTCCACCCTGCTCAACTAGCTATGCGCTTAGTAAGCCAAAGATATACTGAAATAACTACAACCAACTTCGCTATCTTAGACAATAGTGTCATGAGGCTGTAAAATGAAGTAATTGATTATCTTGGTTAACCATCTATGATACAACAATCCAACATTCATACTCATTTCAAAGTACCTTTCCCATTTCACAAAACCAACTCTCTTTATTTTTCAAAACCGGTTTTATTCCTTTTGTTTTTCACAAAATCAAATCCAAGGACAATAAAGCCAAAGCTCATTTTAATCTACTACATTCATCTCCAAGCCATTCCAATTTAATTATACAAATTAAATCATAATCACTAAAATAGGATTTCCCTCCCCTTTTCCCAATATTGATAAAAAGGTTTAATCATCTACAACAAACAACAATGGCTTCATTCAAAACCCAAAATACCCAAGTATTTACCCAATGATCAAAACCCCTGTATTAAGTTATTAAACCAAATAAATATTAGGGTTTGCTCTCCTTACAACAACAACGTGCTAATTAACACCCAATTAGCCCCAAAACACATCTAATGATAATAGATCTAAATCCAACAACTAACCCAAAGTTCAACCTCATGAATTTATACCAAAATCCAAAATAAAATGGTTTTCATGCAATACAAAAATTACAACATGTCTATCTATAGACGTAGTATTGAAAAAGAACAAGGAGAATCCCTACCTCAAAGGAGAACTCAAAAGGAGATGATGACCCGAAATCAAAGTGTTCCAAATTCACAATTTTTCCGATTAAGACGAAGCCCTCGACACCCTCTACCTTTTTAACAAAGGACCTAGGATGGATTCGTACTAGAAGGAGATGAAATTTAGAGAGATAATAAGTTTAGAGAGAGAGACTCTCGGTTGCTAGGGTTTCAAGAATGAAAGAGGGAGAAAAATGATCTTTTTTCCCGCTGCTGCCTACTAAAATACGATAGACTCGCTCAAGCAAAGACAAGCTCGCTCGAGCCAAGAATTCCAGTGTTCAGGTCCTAGTTCCAGACGCAACACTCGCTCGAGCGAATCCACCCTGGCTCGACCCACCAGACACAAAACTCCACGCTCGCTCGAGCGACAAACAGCTCGCTCGAGCGAAGGACTAAAAACCTGGGCAGCAACCACCTGCTCCCAATCACACCCAACCTGGAACGAACAAGTCCAAAACATTCTATAACTCAAATTAAAGAATTGAAGGACAGAAACAAGTTCAAAACAACAACCGGAATCCACGGAACTAAGTCCAGATACTACAACCAAAGGAGAAAGAACCGGGATCGCTATAATGGAATTGTTATATTCAACAGGTTTCAACATGAACAGGGTTATATTTGTTGAACTAAAATTCAGATTTTGATAACATAGGTATATAATGTGGAAAAAAATATTATGGAATTAGTGACAAAATTTTTCATCCCCAAAGAAGGTTTTTTCGTCTCTTATTTGGCTTAGGTGGAAGATTAATTTTGTCATGAATTCTTTATTTCGTCTCTAAATGAATATGTCATGACGAAAAATATTGTCATATTTTGTCACTATTACCCTCAATGTGTGACGATTTTTTTTGACATTATTTCATCATTTTTTATGATGAATTTGTTTTTGTCTCTATTGGTAGCTTCTTTGACAAAAAAATTTTGTCTTCGTTTATATTAAACGTGACAAAATTATTTCATCTCTATTTCTTATATTTATGACAAAATACTTTTGTCTCTAATTTCTTTCTTTAATGACAAAATATTTTGTCGCTAATTACTTACAAGTATGTTCCCAACAGAGTGTATTGGAGACAAAAAAATTCGTCACAAATTTATCATTTTGAATGACGAATTTGTTTTTTAGTCTCTAAGACCCTTTAGCGACGACGCTTTGGCAACAAAATGAGTGACAAAAAATTTCGTCGTAATTAGTTTGAGTGACGAAATATATACATTTTGGGACAAATTTGTTTCATCTTTAAATCCCAAATTTGTTGTAAACATTATTCATCAAACATCGAACATTAGCAACGTCAGGATTATTTATCAAACATCAAGGGGTTTCAACCCTTCCTTATTCCAGTGAAACAGGTGCCTACTAAGAGTCCCTTGAGGCATGTATTCATAAACCAGTAGCCTCTCATTTCCATCCAAGCAGTAACCCAAGAGAGAAACCAAATGCCTATGTCGAACCTTAGTAAGCAGTGCAATCTCAGACTTGAACTCATCCAAACCCTTGTCACTCACCACTCCAGACTCCATCCTCTTAACCACAATCTTAGTCCCATCATGCAACTCTCCTTTGTAAACTTTTCCAAATCCTCCTCTTCCCAATATGTTCCCTTCGCTAAAATTGTTGGTCACAGTCTTCAAAACTTGAATGGAGATTACCATATTTCTAGCTTCAATAACATGAATATCACTAGGTCCACGACTGTCATGACTGTATGTTTCACCCGTTGTCCCACCAGTCAAACCCAAATCAGCAATGGTAATCTTAACAGCATCATGGTCTGAACCTGAATGATGAGGACGAACCACCATGGCATTTGGACTCTGCACCCTACAAGAATGCTTTTGTTTAGCCCTACAAATGCAGAACACACTAACCCCAACAGCCAATACTGCACAAATACAACTAATTACCAAACCCACAACCACACCAGTCGACTTATTGCCACTACTTCTTGAAGTCTTTGTTCCACTAACTGAGGGCGTACCCGGCAATGGACTAACACTATCATTCCCAATATCAGGATTCCCACTAAGACCCATTTTCTGAAAATTGACAACAGTAATGTCTCCATTAGAACAAGTGAGACCCATCCATTGGACACAAGGATCATTCCCTTTCCAACTATCCGCAAACACCGTTGGATAACCAACAGATTGTGCAATCGTAAGCAATGTATTAACCCGGGAATCGCAACCAACACCAGGATCAGATAAGCAGAAACTATTAGTCCCAATTGTCATATCAACTGCAACCAAAGAATGAAATTTTGGGGTCGGGCCTTGTAACAGATTGTTTGTCAAATTCACAACTTTAAGCGATGGAAGGTTCACAAGAGACACGGGTACTAAACTCGTGATCCGATTGTCCCTAACACTGAAATTCTGCAACCCAGTTAGCCCTGAAAGTTCCGGTAAAGGACCTGAAAAAGAATTGGAATGTAACCACACTTGGTTCAATTGGGTCATGTTCTGTATCACCCCAATTGAGCCATTGAGCTTAGAACTAATACCCCGTTGCCCATTCAACCACAGAGACTGAATCGACGAACCCGAAAAGCTTCCCGGTAATCCACCCTCGAGATTGTTGAATGCCAAATGCAAGGAACCCAGATTCACAAACCCGCCAAAGAATTCGGGAATGTTTCCGATTATATTGGCCGCACTGGTAGAGAAAACCTGGAGAGCTGAGGCGTTTTGGAGACTTTTCGGGATTCGCCACGGCGAATAGGGGTTGTAATCGAGATAAACACCTTGAAGAGATGCCATTCCGAGAAAGAAATCGGAGGGAATGGAAGAGAAATTGTTGTTGTT